TTTCCATACTTTTAAATCAAACTTAAATATTTCAGGTCATCAAACAATTTTATTATTAAAGAAGGATGACCTGAATAACCACAAACTGCATTTTTTAAAGGAAAAATGTCAAACCTACCTGTCCTTATGTGAAAAAGTAATTTCCCCCTCATCACATTTTTATTTCATTTCATTTTTTGGAAACCTGAGTTCCACTAGCCACATCCAGGCCTGATTGCTGGCAGACCTGCTGAATAAAGAAATCACCTGAAAACGTGCCAAAGAGAAGTTGGCTAAAAAATGTCAGAAAGCAACACAAACACAATCTGAAGAACCTCCTGAGAAGCAAATGTTTGACTTTTACCAATTTGGAAAGGGTTGCAAAACCATTTTAAGTACTCACTGTACCGAGATGTCAAGTTTTCATCTATCTGCTCTTTGGAAATCACCTTTTTGTTGAAAAAAATACTAATTTTTACCTTTTAGACTGAGCTATCTTTGGTGTTGACAGGTTGCTGCGGCGCAGCAAGGATGGAATTTGAAATCGGTCCTTTGTTAGCTTCTGTTTTATGTCAACAAAGCACTGATTCATTTCTAGAGTTGCCATTTTAAGCTTCAATGATTCATAGGTCAGTTTGAAGTGGTTCAATTTTTTTTTTTAAATTGCTCTAAAAATTAGAAGAAAACCAAGGAGTGGACTGAGAAAACAGAGAGGAGCTTCCAATCAAAAAAACTTTAAACGACCTTCAGAAAACCTGGAGACGTTTTTCTCAAGACCACTTTCAAAAATGGCAAGACCAACAACCTGCAAATGGAGGAAATGTCGAACTCTTGTTACAATTCATTCATTTTGTGGGCAAAATAGGTGCAATGATCACACCAAAAGCAAAAAGTGCAAACCTAAAAGAGGTGAAGGAGATCTTAAGGGAAACAGCAACACCCTTCAAATCCTTAAAGATTCCTAAAACCTCTGTTTACTTATTCACAGGACGAACGACACTGAATCGATTAAAACAAGATTTGGAGTCCAGATTTTACAGAAAAATGTCAATTTAGCAGTCTGTTACCTGTAACCTAGGCTCGGCTGGCTGATCCAACAAGACTATCACCTCATAAGTAAATCAAAAAACAAAGAAAAGTCCCAACTGTTGGAGTGGTTACTCAGTGTTCAATTATGATAGGGAAAGCAACACTGGCTGAAACTGAGAAATAAAAGAAAGAATTACTACGGAGCTTCTGATTTTAACCAAACCTGTGCAAATTATTAATCATTACAGGCCACAAGCACACACATAACCACACAAACAGTACGATTATCGGAGGAAATACATTAATGAGACACAGTCCTCTCATGCAGGGTTTAACTTCCAGTCTCCAACATGAATCCTAATTCTGTGTTTTTAAAAAAGGCAACTTAGGACACAAATAATCTCCTGATAATTATCAACTGATTTCCATGATAATTAATTTATAGCCAATTCTTTTTCAACACCACCACCAACAGATCAGACATGCTGGAAAACATGTTGCCTCAAACATCTCCATGGCGATCATTATGTCATGGCTGAAGCTAAACTGCATGCTAAAAAACTAAACCTGACACTAAACACAAGTTATATTTAGATTTATGTGATTAACCAGTCATTATTCCACCGAACGTAGTGTCTGATGCAGTCCCAAAGTTTGGCCCAACTTTGGGAATGATTGACAGTTTTCAGGAGATTACAT